GGCTAAAGTCGTGCTTCAAATGTCCCCGCCCGTTTTGGGGCGATTTCAGTCTGGTTGAAAATCGCCCAGAAGTCTCTCATAGCCTCTAATGTAAAATATTTTTTTTTCAAATTTCTGAGCTTTCAATACATTCTCTATGGGTGTCTGAGGGCTTGCACTTACGCGCTTTCGTCATACGTAACGTAACGTAACCATGAACGGCAGACAGCAACGCTTGGACAGTGACTGGTGTAACCGACATGCACCATCTTTCAGAAAAGATTAAGAAAAATGAGCTGTCAAAGACCCACATTGATAGCTGTTTGAGATTGTCTGCTTTGGTGAGAGTGAATATTGCCACTCAACTGGATGAGGGATACAGGCTAGCTGTCCGCCGCCACAACGATGAGGTTAGCAACAGCAGAGTCGTGAACACTGTCTACGAGAATCGAGACGACCTCATAGAATGTTTTGAAGCCATCCGGACGGGTTCATTGGGTTCATTTGACCAGCCCACCGTACCAGAAGCTACAGAATAAGGACATCGATGCTGTCTTTATCAAACGTGCCCTCGACAGCTTCGCAAGCAGTGTGCAGGCCATAAGGTAAGATAAAGATTAAACAATATCATTCGATCTTTCTCAAAGCAGAGCTTTATTTGAAAATGTATGCATGAAAGGAGACTGCATTTGTGTTTGAAATTACATTATTGTCATTATATATGGCCAGTGGTGTAATCTATCTTATTTTATATACTATGTGTACTGTACAGTGGTGCTCATAAGTGTATGAACACATTCTAAAGCTGACTAAAAAGAGGAATAAAAAAATAAAAAAATCATCTTTTGGAAATTGATCTTAATGACTTAATTAAAAAAGTTGGAAAATCCAACCTTTAAGGACACCAATTTTCTTTTCTTTTTTATTCCTCTTTTTAGTCAACTTTAGCATGGGATCATAAGCTTATGAGCACCACTGTATACTGTGCTGAACATCCAGGCTATGTGAGACACAAAGGCTAACTTAAACACTAAAGACTTTATGCATCCCTGCCCATTTTAAGTGGAACTGAAGTATTTGTACTATACATGGATACATTGCATATACCTGTGCATCACATAGACAACAATACTGTACAAAGCCAACAAACACATTGGTCTGTTTGCCTTCAGGGACTCCTCTCAACAGCAGCTGCAAGAAGCAACAGGAGCCAAAAGACCCAGAACAGCTTTGAGAGAAGAGGAGAAGCAGAGGCTGTCTGAAGAGGTCTGCAACACCATCCTGGATCACACCAAAGAAAGGTTATCTTTCTCTGGCCACCTTGTGAGTGCTACCTTACTGCAAGCAGACATGTTTGAAAGGTACTGCCATTCAAAAAAATTAAAAATCTGTTCATGTTCATTTTTACAAATCTATACAATTGGCCAGAATATGGTTGTTCATATTTACAAATCTATACAATTGGCCAGAATATGGTTGTTCATTTTTACAAAGCCATACATATTGTTTATGCAGTGTTGAGGAATGTGAAAGAACACCCTTGATTATTTTTACTGTGATAACTTATTTTGCTTTTGTAAGCCAACACTTTTGAGATCAGTCAATAAATGCTTCTGGTATTGACTTATATGCTGCCCCTGTCTTCATGTTGTTGCTGGACATATCTTTTTAAAAATGTGTGTAGGTCACCTAAATCATCAGAAAAATTGCCCCTCCTGAGAATTTTTTCAGGAGCCGCCACTGGATGTAACTGAGTCAGGTTTGTAGGCCTCCTGGCTCTGTTAGAAAACCTCCAGCAGTTACATCAGCTCAGCTGTATTAGTGACAGAGGTAGAGTTGGTCACTGGTCAGTCACACACATGGATCTAAATTAAGAATGGCCTTCAGCAAATGACATAGAACAATGTAATTGGCTGCACTATCAAAACAATGGCAGTCATGTACAGTTGAAGTCGGAAGTTTACATACAACTAGGTTGGAGTCATTAAAACTTGTTTTTCAACCACTCCACAAATGTCTTGTTAACAAACTATAGTTTTGGCAAGTAGGTTAGGACATCTACTTTGATCATGACACAAGTAATTTTCCAACAACTGTTTACAAACAGATTATTTCACTGTATCACATTTCCAGTGGGTCAGAAGTTTACATACACTAAATTGACTGTGCCTTTAAACAGCTTGGAAAATTCCAGAAAATGATGTCATGGCTTTAGAAGCTTCTGATAGGCTAATTTACATAATTTGAGTCAATTGGAGGTGTACCTGTGGATGTATTTCAAGGCCTACCATCAAACTCAGTGCATCTTTGGTTGACATCATGGGGAAATCAAAATAAATCAGCCAAGACCTCAGAAAAGAAATTGTAGACCTACATAAGTCTGGTTCATCTTTGGGAGTAATTTCCAAATGCCTGAAGGTACCACATTCATTTTGCCACAACTTTGGAAGTATGCTTGGGGTCATTGTCCATTTGGAAGACCCATTTGCGACCAAGCTTTAACTTCCTGACTGATATCTTGAGATGTTGCTTCAATATATCCACATAATTTTCCTTCCTCATGATGACATCTATTTTGTGAAGTGCACCAGTCCCTCCTGCAGCAAAGCACCCCCACAGCATGATGTTGCAACCCCCGTGCTTCACAGTTGGGATGGTGTTCTTCGGCCTGCAAACCTTCCCCTTTCTCCTCCAAACATAACGATGGTCATTATGGCCAAACATTTTTTAAAACATTTTAAGTCATTTAGCAGACGCTCTTATCCAGAGGGACTTACAGTTAGTGAGTGCATACATTTTTTTTCTTTCATACTGGCCCCTCGTGGGAATCGAACTTTCTGATTGAGAGGGGGTCAAATACTTATTTCCCTCATTAAAATGCAAATCAATTTATAAAAAAATGTACATGCGTTTTTCTGGATTTTGTTGTTGTTATTCTGTCTCTCACTATTCAAATAAACCTATCATTAAAATTATAGACTGATCACGTCTTTGTCAGTGGGCAAACGTACAAAATCAGCAGGGGATCAAATACTTTTTTCCCCTCACTGTACTAAATGCACAAAAATGTGAATAACACACAAAAATCCATCTTGAGTTACATACAGTATTAGGAAGCCAACCTGTCCCCAAATATATGCAGATAGATTATATGCTCACCATTTAATGACAATCAAATTCAATAGTGCAAAACAACACTTACATTACACTGGCAATACATAATGTTTGTAATTCTTACAAAAATAAAAACTCTAACACTACCTCCCCTCTACCATCCATTAGGTGAGTATCGAATAGCAGATTTACAGCTGGTCCATTATCTTATAGGACATCTGAAGGAACACATTACAGGCTGGCAACATGTTGACATGCTTTGACTGCACCAAAAACAAAGCATGATGCAAAAATTATATGATTAAATCACAACATGAATGACTAAAGTAATTTAAATGCAGTCCCCGTCATTACAGTCAAAAACAGCAAATGTCTTGCTGGTCTTACTTTCAGTGTGCCTTCATATTCATGTACAGACAGAATTCGTGCGGCACATCAGTTGGTTGGGCACTGAATGATCCCCAGACCAATCTAGGAATATCGAACAATGCCATCAAAATGATTTATGCAACGCAGCAGATTAAAAAGAAGGCCTGTTTAAGGAGACATTATGAGGCAAAAACAAAGCAAAGGTGAAGGCATCTGATGTCTCGCAAAGCATTCTGGTCTACACAAGGAGTAGCATAGCGCTAATGGGTGAAATAATTTATTATGACACAGCACACACCAATGCTGAGCTCTCTAGGAAGCATTGCTTGACTATCTTCCTCCTTCCCTGTTCTTCTCTGATCAGATCCTCCTCTCAGCATACAGTAACATACTCAAGTCTAGTTTACCATGGACCCCACAAGAGCCTCCAACACATCAAACTGTAACAGGTCTGGTTGCCTGCCTGCTACTGACAGCTTACACCAGTTACAATATGTCCTGTGGAAAATGTTCTACAATATTGATGTTTTTCTTAAAATGTCCTTTGGAACATTTTCTTCAATATTCTTGTCTTATGCAAAGGGATCTCGCTGTCGCACTGGTATCTATATTTGAAATGGATACAAAACTCATGGTGGGAACCTGGGGGTTCAAAAGTAACTGCTTCAAGCGGTCGTAAAAATTAAGTAACATATGGAGTTGTACTATCTTTGTAACAGCGAGAGTACCTGTGGGGACTGTGCCTTCCTTGGAATGTCCTGATGGAATCAGTCGCAACCGAAGATCTTCAGAGGAGTGTGTGTGTGTGCTGGGGGTCAGGTCGGTTCACATCAATGGAAAAATCATTATTCTTTCTTCAGCTTGATATTGATAAATTATGAAGTATTCTTAGACTTGTTGGCCTTCATCTTGCTTCTTATAAAACATTGTTTTCATGCTCAAACTTCTTTCAGCAACTGCACAGAGTAAAAAAGACACCGTCATTAAGAAGTAGACTAATGATTTAAAACAACTTGTACAAGAACACACTTTTCAACACGGCAGACTAGCTTCACTGAGCAGTTCATTCAATACAGCTGGCCTTATTGAAAAATGAGTGGGGCTGCAACATGCCTGACCCCTTGACCCCTGAAAGTCCCATGATGACACAGTGAGACACACACTCTTCACACGTCCACTCATCAGGCCTGGCTGTATGCACTTGACAGAGCATTCCTTTATAATAGCACTGTGGACTGACAGGGTCTGATTCTTAAAGAGCTGAGCAGGTGGACATTACATAACAGTAGACGTTCAAATGGGGCTGGTGGTTAAACATCTGTTTAAGTGGTTTAACGGCCTGACCACAGAATTATATCTTAGAACTAATTTAATAGGATCTCTATGGGCCGGCCTGGCTCCTGCCAAAGGCTGCCATTGAATACCGTACGGACAATGTAGTGTATTTATGAATGCAGTGCCACCTTGTGGTCCCTATGAGAAGAGCAGTGGAGTGTTGTGTACTTACCATGAGATGAATAAAGAGGAACAGGTCCTTTTCAGATTCCTTGCTCTGCGATCATTGACTTGGGCCTGCAAATGACAGGAGTATGAATAAACATGTTTCTGTAACATTATCCCCATCAATCCCTTCTATATTGCTAGTGAGAGGAACTATTGCTTGACCATATGGACATGTTGACTACTGCTTGGTCTATACCAGGGATCTCCAACCCTGGTCCTGGAGAGCTACTGTGCATGCAGGCTGAAGAGGGGGTTAAAGATCCCTGGTCGATACAATATTCGGCTATCACGCACAGGCCATTGTAGTGTAACTGTCTACTCCCTACCTCTCTGCCTTGGCTGAAGAAGACTCCTGTGGGTTTGCCTGCTGCCGCTGTTCCTGCTCCATCCTGTACAGGCAGAGGGACACAATACAGATGTAGGATCTTCATTTGATCACCCTGCAGGAAATGTAAAACTTGTAGTGTATTTGAGGTTTAAAAAGGCTTCGGAAGTTCGTAATTTCCACTTTGAAATGTCAGACATGATTTTCCCCTACAAAAATGTCCATTAATTATAATGCACATTTCCTGTTGCTGCAGGATAATTTTCCTTCTGTAGCAAACTGGATGGAATTAAGATCCTACATCTGTACCTACTGAATAAAAGCTTGATGAATGAACTGACTGAGGCTACAGCATTGGTCACCCCTGAATCGATTGAGTATAAGCATATCTGACTGATTAATTCGATAAAAAAAATAAGACGTAAATGTATTTTACCTTTCTTTCCGAGCATTGATCCTCTCCTCCTCAAATCTGTAAAAAGAAAGAAATCATACGATCCCTATTCCTATCCAAGTCCTTTTCAAGTTGGAATACAGATCCTATCTTGGCTGAGAATAACACAATTAACATATCAATTCCTATTTGAAAACCTTTGATATTTAAATGTATTCTTCTATGACTTATTTAGTGCCTCAAAGTCTCTGCCAGGCATCCACGTCTATTCACTGAGGGAATAATTATTCGCTTGCAAGTTCACATAATTTATTAGTCTACACATTTTACTCCAGCAAAATTGCAAATCACTGCAAGTCAGTGAATGATAGTGGGAGTCAAGTCTTCAGCTCAGTTACTCCCCAAGGTGGTTGATGATACTTACTGCACCACACATTCTGGGACTTGCACATGTTCCATGGGGACTATCTCTGCCAGCTCGTCCAGACTGTGCACATACTGGATCTTATTCATAAACTTCACACTGCAAATAACAGGATACAACAACAAGTTACATTGATGTTGTGTTTACAACTATAAATTGTCAGTCACAGTGACGATATGTAGTATTTAACTGTGTTATTAATGTGTCGTTGTGTTGTGTGGTCACCTGATGAAGGGCCTGGATATGGCCAGCACAGTGCGGATGAACCAGGTGGGGTGGGCAATGACCAGAGACTTTAGGTTCTTCCTGAGCCTACAGAGACAACAGAAATAAGCAGTTATTGCAGTTTAGTCATTTAGCAGACGCTCTTATGCAGAGCAATTATGGTTAAGTGTCTTGCTCAAGGGCACGTCGACAGATTTTTCACCTAGTCGGCTCAGGGATTCGAACCAGCAACCTTTCGGTTACTGGCCCAATGCTCTTAACCGCTAGGTTACCTGCCGGCAGTTGAAATAAGGAAATACAGACGTCCCATTGTGCTGGAAGAATCTATCAAGAGGCTTAGGATGAGTCAGTCCCTTTCCCATTGACTGCCAGTAGCAGTGACAAGCACAATTACTCTCCATGAACTTTTCTGAAACTCAGTTGACGTTTATGTCATGCACGTCCATCCTATGTCAACAGCATGAACAATCGCATTAAACAAGCTGTCGTTTAGTAGTTAGTATAAGATATAAATATCCTTACCTCCTATCAATCATCTGATAGCATTTCTTTAGCCATCCTATGCCTGGCATCTTGCCCCGCGGTGTGGCTCCATTCATGTAGATGATCAAATAGTCCTCAGCCACCAGCATTTCTAGACTGCTAACCACATACCTGAGAAGGGAAAAAGATTGAGGTTCATTTTATTGCTGCCATTGCAAGCACTAAAGAAATCTCAAATCAGGTTATATTTTCTGGCAGCGTAAATTTTCAATCCAGCAATCAATAGCATATTGTGCATGATAACCTAGTTTAAAATATCACTACATAGCGAGGCTTTCTGATGGGTGCCTCGTCATAAATAAATAACACAGTTACTCACAGGAAGAGGTTCTCCATGATGTAGTGATAATCTGCACAGCTGCTGTCCGGCAGGTAGCAGGCTGAGAACACTATGATGGCATTCAGACCCTCACCATAGTAACCTGCAGGAGGAGAGTAGAGAGTGAGAGTTGGCATGGCCTGTTAGTTCATCCCGTTGGTGTCACTATGTTGGATGTACAAACATTTACAGACATAAACTCAGTTTGAGATGTAATAATTGGCACCATGTTGGCAGAGAAAGTTCCATGATAATTCAATTCTAATTAGTTTAACTTTGTATACAGTATCTATAGCTCTGGCTGGATGCTGTTGGCTGGACACTGACCCCCATGGGTGATGACACGGAGATACGGCCTGATGACCTGCATGTCAATACGGTGCTCCTGCTCCCCGATGATCACTGTCCTCCACAGGCGCCCGTTACCCCCCGTCCCATCAGCACAGTCTTCCTCCTCTCCGTCACCAGGCCCCGCTTTGGCGTTGGCAACCGGTGTATCATCTGGACATACATAGTGGAAAGTTGAAAGGTGTTTATGCCACAATGTGAAGCTAATGTATTTGTATGAGTGAGACAAAATTGACTTATTTTATGTCATCCATCTTTGTATTTCTCTTCAGTATCTTAGCTTTCGTGCTGTTTAGCTGTGGACTTAAACATTAGTGTACATACGCAGCTATTTATCTAGCCGAAGTGGGTGCCAGACCGTTTCTGCGCTAGCTACATTTAACCAAACAACAGGTTGTCTGAAGCAGAAAGACTGGCTACCAGGCTGGCACCAGGGCTACCAGGCTGGCAACCAGGGCTACCAGGCTGGCAACCAGGGCTACCATTAATCCACGCCCCATGAGCCCTACTCACCTTCCCACTCCAGCTCATTGCCATTGGTGATGAACTCCAGAGAGTCGTTGTCGTCGGGGGTGTCGATGTCGTCCACGTTGATGTCCAGGTCGTCGGGCGTATCCAGGAAGTCGTCAGACAGCAGGGAACCCTCGCTGTGGTCCAGGGACAGGTTGATATCCGGGGCCACTAACGTACGCAGCTTGCGATGGGTGGACACTACTCCACCTCCGCCACCTCCACCAACATTCAGAGAGTTGGGGGGAGCTGCGGCAGAGGTGGTGAGACTCTTAGTAACTGGTAGTGTACACACATAACATCCAGTTGAATTCACAGTTGAAGGGTTTATGAAGTAGCATGTGTAAAAAAAAGATTTCAAGCATCAGTGTGTTGTCAAGGCTTATTGTCATAAAGTAATATATATTTTTAACAATATATTTATTGGCTTTTTTACAATTTAACAATCATCAGCAAAATATGACAATTAGATAATGCCCTGTTATTCCCCCACATACACAAAACAGCAGGCTAGTCATAAAGTAATATTGCTGAAGTTACTTACACTATACATACAAAAGTATGTGGACACCCCTTCAAATTAGTGGTTTCGGCTATTTCAGCCACACCCATTGCTGACAGATGTATAAAATCGAACACACAGCTATGCAATCTCCATAAACAAACATTGGCAGTAGAATTTTCTTAGTGACTTTCAACGTGGCAATTGAAAGGATGCCACCTTTCCAACAAGTCAGTTCTTCAAATTTCTGCCCTGCTAGAGCTGCCCCGGTCAACTGTAAGTGCTGTTATTGTGAAGTGGAAATGTCTAGGAGCAACAATGTCTCAGCCGCGAAGTGGTAGGCCACACAAGCTCACAGAATGGGACCGGCGTGTGCTGAAGCGCGTAGCGCATAAAAATAGTCTGTCATCGGTTGCAACACTCACTACACTTCACCATCTGGCAGTCCGACGGACGAATCTGGGTTTGGCGGATGCCAGGAGAACGCTACCTGCCCCAATGCATAGTACAACTCTAAAGTTTGGTGGAGGAGGAATAATGGTCTGGGGCTGATTTTCATGGTTGGGCTAGGTACCTTAGTTCCAGTGAAGGGAAATCATAACACTACAGCATACAATGACATTCTAGACGATTCTTTACTTCCAACTTTGTGGCAACAGTTTGGGGAAGGCCCTTTCCTGTTTCAGCATGACAATGCCCCCATGCAAATGGTTTGTAGAGATCGATGTGGAAGAACTCGACTGGCCTGCACAGAGCCCTGACCTCAACCACATCGAACACCTTTGGGATTAATTGGAATGCCGACTGCGAGCCAGGCCTAATCGCCCAACATCAGTGCCCGACCTCACTAATGCTCTTGAGGCTGAATGGAAGCAAGTCCCGCAGCAATGTTCCAGTATCTAGTGGAAAGCCTTCCTAGAAGACTGGAGGCTGTTATAGCAGCAAAGGGGGGACCTCCATATTAATGCCCATGATTTTGGAATGAGATGTTCGACGAGCAGGTGTCCACATACTTTTGGCCATGTAGTGTAAGTTAATTGAGCTACCAAATGCCAGTCACATATTCTTTTAATGTTACTCACAGGCTCTGTCATCGGTGAGACCACAGGATGACTCCATGTCACCGTCCTCAGGAAGTGGTCTGAAAATCAACAGAGCCACAGCCACACACAATAGCATGACATGACCAAACTCTAAAGCCAGCCAGTCAAACTGATTCAAATAAACCAAACCCCAAATAGTCCTGGAAGCACACTAGTACAGTATCACATCATTGCAGATGGTGAAAAATTAACATAAGCCAGCAATCATGTCAGTGGGGTTGTCAGTGACCTGGCTCAGCACCACAAAGGTAGCACAGAGAGAGAGGCTGGGTGGTTATTATCAGCTCCCCAGGGAACTCTTTAGATTGTAGCCCTGCCATGATGAGATGAGGGAGGGAGGGAGAGGCGGTGGTATGTTAATAAAAAATAAAAAAACTATTCTCTGTACAGGGAGGCAGACACACTGCTAGGTTACCCCTTAACACGAGGTGTAATTTCCCTTGTCACCTATTGTAATGTGAAACAATGAGGACGACAAGAAGGATGAGGGGAATGAAGGGTATAATACAGGGGGAAACAACAACTACTACATACCAAGAGGTAATGAGGAAATATAAGGTATACAGTCCCACTGTGCCTTGCTGCATAAGCCGAAGACATCCTTTCATCTTAACATCCCAGGGTGGACAGACAGTTCATAACAGAGTGTTGCCAAAACAACATGACTGGCAATAACAAATGACAAGAGCATCCGTTACTCTGCATGGTGTCCGACCTAGCGTCCCTGAAGACAGACTACTGCTATCACTACTGGCAAGCTTCCATTGTTCAATAACCATTTTCCAACACAAAATGAAACCCATGAAGAAGAAATGAAATAGGATTGATGTCTAACAAAGGGTATTATAATCCCAAATGTCAAGCAGTCAGGCCATATTCTTCTCCTAAAATGACGAGGGCTAAAATATCTTAAGAGTTTACCTTATGAAAAAGGAGAAGGATGATTTCAAAGATGATTTCCAGGCAAGTAATTTACTTCACAGCCCTAGATCCTATAATATTATTCATTCCCTTATCTCAGTAGATTATAGGGAGCCTCAGGCACATCATCCTTCAGAGCTGCTGCTTTTCTCTTCCTCCTCCTGCTCCTCCTCTTCCCTATAGCTGAACTGCCACCATTTTCCTCGTGATGCTGTGTTTTTGACTCGTGGCTGCGTCACATGACATAGCCCATCGCCACTTAATGAGAGCTGCACCTGCTCCCTGCGCTCCCTCAGATGGTAACCTGGACTCAGAGGTAGACGCAACATAGTAAAAGTAAATCTGGCACACTCCAATTAGTTTGATATGTTACGTTTCGTATGGTATGTATTCATTTGTGGATGTCCATCATTCATTTAGTATGATATGTTACGAATTTCAATTTTTACAATATGTTACGAATTTGCTAAACTTATGATATGTTACGATATCCAATTTGTTGTGGCTAACATTAGTTAGGTGGCTAGATGACTAATGCTAATGTTAGCTAGGTGATTAACATTAGCCAGGCTAGGGATTAGGGTTAGGGGTTAAGGTTAGGGTTTGGTTAAATGGTTAAGATTAGGGGAAGGTTAGCTAACATGATAAGTAGTTGCAAAGTAGCTAAAAAGTAGTAAGTAGTTGCAAAGTTGCTAAAATGCTCAAGTTATCCGTGATGAGATTCGAATACTCAACCTTTGGGTTGCTAGACGTTTGCGTTATACGTCCGCCCATCCACCCCGACCAACCACTCACTTTTGTTTTTGCTTTAAGTAACCTTCTGTCTTATGTAACCATACCAAACCTAACATATCATACTCATTTGCTTGTCCCGGATTTACATTTACTATGTTACGTCTAGTCTATGAGACAAGGCTGCAGATGGAGAGCAAGAAAGATGCTGCCTGGTGTCAGGATGCTCTCTCTCTCTCTCCTACAGAGCAAGTATCTGATCTCCCTGCATCTCATAGTGACAATAAAGGGAGATATCATGCCTAAATCAAGTCCTCTTCGTAATTCTTCAGTTCTTGGAGGCCAATTAATCTTTATCAATGCAGTGTTTGTGAATGTTTACAGCACATATTATTGCCATATAACTATTGCAATTTCAGAGAAGGTTGATTTCAGTAGATGGGGGGTATCTGCTGGGTATTCCAGGCTATAATTAGACCAGCTGCACAGGGCTAGCCCACTAGGAAATCCTCAAGCACATTTAGCTGAAGCTGATTATAATAATTCAACAACAAACATCACTGCAAACATGAGTCATTGTCATCTACCAGTTGTGATGAAATGCCACCCAACCATCACATCTCCTCAGTACCGATGCCCAGGTGTTTAAAAAAACCCACACAGTAGCATTCTAAAGTGTCTTTTTTTTAAAACTGTGTGATTATTCTTGCCATAACATAACAAATATTATAAACTGGGTGGTTCGAGCACTGAATGCTGATTGGCTGATAGCCATGGCATATCAGTCCATATACCACGGGTGTGACAAAACAGTTATTTTTACTGCTCTAATTACATTGGTAACCAGTTTATAATAGCAATAAGGCACCTCTGGGGTTTGTGATATATGGCCAACATACAGTACCACGGCGAAGGGCTGTGTCCAGGTACTCTGCGTTGCGTCATGCTTAAGAACAGCCCTTAGCCATAGTATATTGGCCTTAAAACTCACCCCCTCGGGCCTTATTGCTTAATTATAAACCGGGGTGTTTGAGCCCTGAATGCTGATTGGCTGACACAAAATTACTTGTTTACTGTACTAATTATCTTGATAACCAGTTTATGTAAGGGATAATCAACTAGGGGCTATGTGTTCTATGAACGACGTGGAAGGTGTGTTCCACGACGCGCTAGCGGAGTGGAACTGACCTTCCACAGAGTTCCATTATTTTCCAGAGAATGCATAGAGCCCCGAGTTGATTATCCCTTTTATACCATGGCTATAATTGAACATATTTGTCACTAGAAATGTGTTTATTTGCTGGTAGAAATGTGTTCAACATCCACTGAAGTAGCTAGAAAGTTTACTATAGAGCTACAGTAGTTGCCGTGGTAACCAAACAAACAAACTTGCTAGTTTAGCTAACCAAACCACCAGCTTGCCATTATGAAAATCTAAATTCAACAGTGACAATAATGTTTTCAATAAGACTTTTGCTTACAAAAGCAACTCAAATATAGAACATGTAAGAATGAACTATAGCCATTTAATTCTACCGTGCAAATATGCTGTGCGCTCTAGAATGCCCTTCAAGCCAATCAGAAACAAGTATTCAACAATGCCATGGTATCAAATAGCAATAAGGTACCTCTGGTTTGTGGTATATGGCCAATATACCAAGGTCTGTATACCGGCACTCTGCGTTGTGTCATTTCTAAGAACAGCCCTTAGCCGTGGTATATTGGCCATATTATTTTTATATAACCTCTATTTAACTACCCCGGCCAAACCCGGACGGCGCTGGGCCAATTGTGATACACTGCCGGATTGTGATACAGCGTGGAATCGAACCAGGGTCTGTAATGACGCCTCTAGCACTGAGATGCACTGAGATGCAGGGCCTCAGACCACTGCGCCACTCGGGAGCCATACCCCCTCAGGCCTTATTGCTTAATTGTAATCCTTGCGGTTACACTTTAGGCCAAGTATACTGTACGTACCGTTGGATTACTGCCATAAATACAATGTAACGGTGAGTTATTACAATACTTGATACACAGTAATAAGGACCCTGTAAAGTACAGCATCATCAAAGTCATCTGACACCCACCTGGGGAAGTCATCATCCTGCCACTCATCTTTATACTCCATGTTATCCATTCTTAGAGTCGCCTCTGTGTCGCCTCATTCCATGAAGGGGAGGAGAGGGGCCTGCGGCACACAGACAGAGACAGACCATGCATAATTAACTGACCAACAATAATCAATAATCAACCTGTTACAATGGAGCACTTTGAGCTTTGGAAAAGTGCAACATCACAATTATAGTGATCACTGATCACCATCACTACTATTAATAGTATTATCAAATTACCTCAAACCAAATCAAACCAATCCTCAGGTATGAAGTGCAAATGGCAACTTCAATAAACCCATGTTTTGTGTAACACAGAGAATGAGTTTGTACAAAAGGAACAATGGTACAGTTATTAGGATTTTTATTTCATTTATCAGTATTTATCATTTCAATTGAGAGGCTGAATCCAGGCCACGGGGCGTTTACAATGCCTTGCAAAAGTATTCATCACCCTTGGCGTTTTTCCTATTTTGTTGCATTACAACCTGTAATTTAAATGGATTTTTATTTGGATTATAAGTAATGGACATACACAAAATAGTCAAAATTGGTGAAGTGGAATGAAAAAAATAACTTGTTGCAAAAAAATTCAGAAGTCACATAATTAGTTAAATAAAGTCCACCTGTGTGCAATCTAAGTGTCACATGATCTGTCACATGATCTCAGTATATACAGTGGGGGAAAAAAGTATTTAGTCAGCCACCAATTGTGCAAGTTCTCCTACTTAAAAAGATGAGAGAGGCCTGTAATTTTGGCCCCATTCATTCTTTCCTTTACACGGATCAGTCGTCCTGGTCCCTTTGCAGAAAAACAGCCCCAAAGCATGATGTTTCCACCCCCATGCTTCACAGTAGGTATGGTGTTCTTTGGATGCAACTCAGCATTCTTTGTCCTCCAAACACGACGAGTTGAGTTTTTACCAAAAAAGTTATATTTTGGTTTCATCTGACCATATGACATTCTCCCAATCCTCTTCTGGATCATCCAAATGCACTCTAGCAAACTTCAGACGGGCCTGGACATGTACTGGCTTAAGCAGGGGGACACGTCTGGCACTGCAGGATTTGAGTCCCTGGCGGCGTAGTGTGTTACTGATGGTAGGCTTTGTTACTTTGGTCCCAGCTCTCTGCAGGTCATTCACTAGATCCCCCCGTGTGGTTCTGGGATTTTTGCTCACCGTTCATGTGATCATTTTGACCCCACGGGGTGAGATCTTGCGTGGAGCCCCAGATCGAGGGAGATTATCAGTGGTCTTGTATGTCTTCCATTTCCTAATAATTGCTCCCACAGTTGATTTCTTCAAACCAAGCTGCTTACCTATTGCAGATTCAGTCTTCCCAGCCTGGTGCAGGTCTACAATTTTGTTTCTGGTGTCCTTTGACAGCTCTTTGGTCTTGGCCATAGTGGAGTTTGGAGTGTGACTGTTTGAGGTTGTGGACAGGTGTCTTTTATACTGATAACAAGTTCAAACAGGTGCCATTAATACAGGTAACGAGTGGAGGACAGAGGAGCCTCTTAAAGAAGAAGTTACAGGTCTGTGAGAGCCAGAAATCTTGCTTGTTTGTAGGTGACCAAATACTTATTTTCCACCATAATTTGCAAATAAATTCATTAAAAATCCTACAATGTGATTTTCTGGATTTTTTTCTCTCAATTTGTCTGTCACAGTTGACGTGTACGTGTACCTACAGTGTGGAAAAAAAGTATTTAGTCAGCCACCAATTGTGCAAGTTCTCCCACTTAAAAAGATGAGAGAGGCCTGTAATTTTCATCATAGGTACACGTCAACTATGACAGACAAAATGAGAAAAAGAAATCCAGAAAATCACATTGTAGGATTTTTTATGAATTTATTTGCAAATTATGGTGGAAAATAAGTATTTGGTCAATAACAAAAGTTTCTCAATACTTTGTTATATACCCTTTGTTGGCAATGACACAGGTCAAACGTTTTCTGTAAGTCTTCACAAGGTTTTCACACACTGTTGCTGGTATTTTGGCCCATTCCTCCATGCAGATCTCCTCTAGAGCAGTGATGTTTTGGGGCTGTCGCTGGGCAACACGGACTTTCAACTCCCTCCAAAGATTTTCTATGGGGTTGAGATCTGGAGACTGGCTAGGCCACTCCAGGACCTTGAAATGCTTCTTACGAAGCCACTCCTTCGTTGCCCGGGCGGTGTGTTTGGGATCATTGTCATGCTGAAAGACCCAGCCACGTTTCATCTTCAATGCCCTTGCTGATGGAAGGAGGTTTTCACTCAAAATCTCACGATACATGGCCCCATTCATTCTTTCCTTTACACGGATCAGTCGTCCTGGTCCCTTTGCAGAAAAACAGCCCCAAAGCATGATGTTTCCACCCCCATGCTTCACAGTAGGTATGGTGTTCTTTGGATGCAACTCAGCATTCTTTGTCCTCCAAACACGACGAGTTGAGTTTTTACCAAAAAAGTTATATTTTGGTTTCATCTGACCATATGACATTCTCCCAATCCTCTTCTGGATCATCCAAATGCACTCTAGCAAACTTCAGACGGGCCTGGACATGTACTGGCTTAAGCAGGGGGACACGTCTGGCACTGCAGGATTTGAGTCCCTGGCGGCGTAGTGTGTTACTGATGGTAGGCTTTGTTACTTTGGTCCCAGCTCTCTGCAGGTCATTCACTAGGTCCCCCCGTGTGGTTCTGGGATTTTTGCTCACCGTTCATGTGATCATTTTGACCCCACGGGGTGAGATCTTGCGTGGAGCCCCAGATCGAGGGAGATTATCAGTGGTCTTGTATGTCTTCCATTTCCTAATAATTGCTCCCACAGTTGATTTCTTCAAACCAAGCTGCTTACCTATTGCAGATTCAGTCTTCCCAGCCTGGTGCAGGTCTACAATTTTGTTTCTGGTGTCCTTTGACAGCTCTTTGGTCTTGGCCATAGTGGAGTTTGGAGTTGACTGTTTGAGGTTGTGGACAGGTGTCTTTTATACTGATAACAAGTTCAAACAGGTGCCATTAATACAGGTAACGAGTGGAGGACAGATGAGCCTCTTAAAGAAGAAGTTACAGGTCTGTGAGAGCCAGAAATCTTGCTTGTTTGTAGGTGACCAAATACTTATTTTCCACCACAATTTGCAAATAAATTCATTAAAAATCCTACAATGTGATTTTCTGGAGAAAAAAATTCTCAATTTGTCTGTCATTGTTGACGTGTACCTATGATGAAAATTACAGGCCTCTCTCATCTTTTTAAGTGGGAGAACTTGCACAATTGGTGGCTGACTAAATACTTTTTTCCCCCCACTGTATGTTGGAAGGTACTCTGGTCAGATGAGACTAAAATTGAGCTTTTTGTCCATCAAGGAAAACGCTATGTTTGGCGCAAACCCAACACCTCTCATCACCCCAATGTTTTTCATCGGCAGGGACTGGGAAACTGGTCAGAATTGAAGGAATGATGGATGGCGCTAAATACAGGGAGATTCTTGAGGGAAACCTGCTTCAGTCTTCCAGAGATTTGAGACTGGAACGGAGGTTCACCTTGCAGCAGGACAATGACCCTAAGCATACTGCTAAAGCAACACTTGAGTGGTTTAAGGGGAAACCTTTAAATGTCTTGGAATGGCCTAGTCAAAGCCCAGACCTCAATCCAATTGAGAATCTGTGGTTTGACTTAAAGATTGCTGTACACCAGCGGAACCCATCCAACTTGAAGGAGCTGGAGCAGTTTTGCCTTGAAGAATGGGCAAAAATCCCAGTGGCTAGATGTGCCAAGTTCATAGAGACATACTCCAAGAGACTTGCAGCTGTAATTGCTGCAAAAGGTGGCTCTACAAAGTATTGGGGGGGGGTGAATAGTTATGCACGCTCAAGTTCTGTTTTTTTGTCTTATTTCTTGTTTGTTTCACAATAAAAAATATTTTGCATCTTCAAAGTGGTAGGCATGTTGTGTAAATCAAATGATACAAACCCCCCAACAATCCATTTTAATTCCAGGTTGTAAGGCAACAAAATAGGAAAAATGCCAAGGGGGGTGAATACTTTCGCAAGCCACTGTATCTCCCTGTGTAGCATGTGAGGAACATGTGACTCAGGTCCCCTTGCAGCTTCACTCAAAGTCAATCACAATGAAGGAATTTCCTAGGTGGAATCCAAGAGTCCAGGAGAAATCAACTCTGAATCCCTCCTCCTCAGCTACTAATCCTCAGCTCAGATGCCACCTTTTTGATGTGTTCAGGCTTGTCCTGTCTGTCTGCCACTAGTTTAAAGAGACAGTGCCAGGCTTACAGCATCATAATACTGCCTCCAGGTAGCTCAAGCTGTGTTAAATGTTAACATCATGTAAGTCAGTGCACAGTAGTGTAATCACTGACATTCTGTTTTCAAGAGAAATTTGTAAGTGTAACGTGGGGTTTCAGTTTTCGTTACCATCATCCACGGTGTTGAATAAGAAAGAGGTACTGTAATATTATTAAGAGTCAGATACACAGCATATTTACTGCTGAGGTTGTATGGTTCATTGCATTAGAATGGGACCGATGTTGTTTAATGGAACTGAAGTCCTCCTCTCTTTGTACCTCTTCACTCATGTGGAAAATCAACGAAGCCTGACTGGGGTCTACTGAGGTACATACAGTAAGTTCCCCAGGTCAGCTGTGGACATATTTATAGAAACATATACACTGACGGAGGGCTCCTTAAGTACAGTACCTATCTGTGGGTAAGTGGCAACATCTACTCTGAGAATTCACCCAACACGAACACAGTAAAATAAATAAGGAGATACGTTGTTGTCCGGCAATACTTAAAATGCATTGTAAGATGTACTATGTTTTTATAATGTCTTTGTAAAATCATATTAATTATCAAATACAGAGGAGTGGTTAGGTAGGTTAGGCTCTACACCACACACACTCTCAGCGGTTATAGGGAAGTGTCCTTTATGCCCAAGGGCAAAGCAGAATACCCCAGCCATAACCCACAAAAGAAGCTGCTTGTATTCCATGTCAGTTCGATTGAGTGTGCA